GAGTGCCTAGGAACCTCTGCATTTTGGAGGGAAATGAGGAAAATGAACCTTAAACTGAATGTGTGAACTCCATGGCTTTAAAGAAAAGAAAGCATATGAAGTTGGGAGGAAAAAACTTGTGGAAGGACAAGAGAGAATTGGGAGAGGAGGGAATGATGGATCCAAACACAACACATTATATGCATGTAAGAAATTCTCAATAAAAAATGGACTTGTAGTAAAAGAATAGAATAAAACATATGAAATAAATTGAAAAAAAAAACTAAGCATGTAAGGATTAGAGATTTTAAGAGAGCAAACAAAGATAAAAATGCTGTGCCAATTTCTTCCAAAATTGTCTGTAATATTTTTTAACTCAAGGGGTCACTGAGAGCCAAACAGAAAAGTACTTTCATAAAAAAAAATATATATGAAGACATATAGTCTCATGCATTGCTTAACAACGGGACATGTGGGGAAAAATAAGTCACTGTCTGATGTGACAGTGTGTGTGCTGTGCACACACAGTCACTTGTACAAATCTTCATGCGCTAAGCTGTTCATTTAATCCCTTGATGAAATCAAGAGATAGTAAATATGAGACCTGTGATAGCATGGAACTCTGTTCGTAGTTATACAGAGTCTCACTTTGCAGCCCAGGCTGGCCTTGAACCCACTGTCCTCTTGCCTCAGCCTCCAAAGTGCTGGTATTACAGAGGTATGCCACCACACTGGCAAACTTTTAAGTAGGAAAATCCTCTATAATAGTATGTAGCACAAACCAATAACAATCATTTAGCATTATCAAGTATTATATATAATACTAACAGTGCAGTGGGCCTGCTTACACCAGCATCACCAGTCACGCCAGGAGTGGGTTGTACCATATTGGCTGTTGACAGCAGCAGCTATGATGTCACCATGAATAGGAATCTTTCCACTCCATAATAATCCTATGAGGCCACAGCTCCATATGCAGTTTTCCACTAGCTAAGTATGTACCACAACTGGATTCCATATCACATATTTATATGAACATATATTGAATATCATATGCATGTATACAATTAAAATGAGTCATAAATCAAATCTATTCCCTTTAACGTGATTTATTAGCATGATATATTATTTTGATATGGTCCACCTAGTGTTTTGCGAGGACAGTCGCTTGGAGCTGAGCATCTCCTTTAACAATGGCTTCCCTCACACTCTTCATAGGGAGCAGGGGCTGTACTCTGCATTCTTGCAATTACTGGATGTGGGCAAGGGCACCAGCCACACATACTGCTAGCTGGGCAGACAAAAACAAAGGTCCCAGTCAGACGTGTTCCTGACATCTGCTACATCCCTCACATCCTGTGGCTTCCCAAAGGGGCAAGATATCAGAAATGCTGAGTGGTTACTAAGGTATCCACATTATCCACCTGGCAGACAGGCTCCATCTCACTACTCTTTGAAGTGACTATCTATATTTAACCTGCCCCATGCCTGTGGGTGAGCTGACCTTCCAACCTAGGAAGTCAGTGTGAGCCACAGGCATCCAGTATTTAGTTGTACAAACCATGGGTCAGCCAGCATTCTAGAAAATAATCCTTGCCCTTGAAGGATTTATGGAGGAGCAAGGACAACAGGCCTGTGAGCAAATGCTGACAGAAAGATGTTGGTGTCTTTAAAAGGTGATCTAGGACACTGCTTAGGAAAGGGCTGGTTTGTGGACAACACCAAGAAAACATGTTCCACCTTGGTGTATCCCTTGCCAGGCCAGCAATACAGTGCTGTGGTTTTGGGAGGTGGGAATCATGGTCTTAAAAATCAGACACAGTGCCAAGTAATGACCAGGTACCAGCCAGCTCTCAAATAGTAATTGGGTTGATATTAGAGACTATAGATTTCACAAGATTTGGTCTTGCCCTTGAACACTTCCCAAGTGTAGAGACACACAGACATGCACCATGAGTTTCCTGGGGCAATGCTACAGTGTCTTGAGGATACAGTCTTCCCAGAGGGAAGGCTCAGGTAGGCCAGGAGCAGTTCCACAGCTTGCTCAGCCTGGATTGTACAGTGCTTACACAGACGGGAGTCCCAGGGAAGCCAACAGGAGCCACTGCACTGTGCCTGGGAGATGAGTGCACCAAGCCATGTCTTCCACATTGACACAAGACTGATTTGGGGACCTTCCTCTTAACAAAGCCACCAAGAACACCCTGGGCACTGCAAACCGGCTGCTCAGTGCCATGGCAAGGGCTAAACAGAAAGAAGCCCCACCTGAGCAGCAATTGGGTGGCAGTGGACAGGGGATACGATCTCTAGGCTCTTGGGAAGAAAGGCCCCAGGGCTGGAACAGCTTTGCGGAGGGATACTTTAGTGCAGGATCCTTCCATTTAGACCTGCAATTCATCACAATTGAACTATAGACCATTTTCATCAACACTCCCCACCCCCGCAAAACCCTCAAGACCCTCAGATTCTACCCTCACTCCTTGCCCCAGGCAGTCAGTGACCTGCTTTCCATCTCTGTAGGTTTACATTTTTGAAATTTCATATAAATGGAATCTTACAGTCAGCATGTTTTTCATGGTGTACCATGTGTCCGTATTTCATGCCTTTAATGACTGAGTAATATTCCATTATATATGATATACCACATTTCATCTATTCATTCACCACTTCAAAGATATTTGGATTATTTCCAATGCTGCAATGCAATTAACATTTGTTTGTAAATGTTTTTGTCTGTGCATATGTTTTTACTTGTTTCATACATGGAATTGCTGGTTACATAAAAATCTGTTTCAAGAAAATGTCAACCATTTCCAACTGTTACCAGGAGGTTAATTAAGAGAGTTCCAATTCCTCTATATCCTGGCCGACATGTTTCTCTATCTTTATTTCAGGCCTCCCAGCAGGTGTGAAATGGTGCCCCACTGTGGTTTTAATTTTCATTTCTCTATTGCCCAAGGATGCTGTGCACCATCTTGTGCTTCTCTTACTGGACGTTTGTAGTTTGTAAAGTATCTATGTGAAACGTGACTGAAATCTTTTCCCATTTTTCAGACTGGCTTGTCTCCTTTTGGTGTTATAAGTTCTATAAATTCTGGATATGTAGCCTTTGTCAGATATAGCCTTTGCAAACATTTCTCCCAGACTGTGTGGCTTCTACTTCTGAATTATGTGCCTTCTAAAGAGGAAAAAAAAAATTGACAAAGCCCAGCTGATTAACTCAAGATTCTGTGGCTCCTCTTTTTGGTACCATGTGTAGGAAATCTTTGTCTGACCGAAGATCACAAAGATCTTCCCTGATGATGCCTTCTGGAAATCCATTTTTTATATGACATGAAGGGCGGGTCCACCTTTATTCTTTTGCAAATGAAATATCCTATTGTGGCAGCACTGCTTGTTGCAAAGCAGCCCTTTGCTCCACTGTATGTGCCTTTATCAAAAATCAGTTGACCCTGTGTAAAGACTTCTTTCTGAACTCCATGTTCCATGGGTGTCTCTGGATGTACTACTGCTGCATGGCCTTAACTAATACACATGATAGATAATAAGTTTTGAAACTGGGAAGGTAAGTCTTCCCACTTAGTTCTTTTTCAAAATTCGTTTTGGCTATTCTGGGTCTTTTGTATTACCTTATAAATTTTAGGATGAGCTTATTTTCAGCTGAGATTTTGATAGGTATTGTGTTGACTCCATAGCTCAATTTGGAGAGAATTGCCATCCTTACAACACTGAGTCTTCCAATTCATTTACTTTTAATTTTTTTAATTTCCATCAACAATATTCTGTAGTTTTCAGCGTGCAAGTCTTGCATTTACTTTCTTCTAAGCATCTGAATTTCATTTCTAAATTTGCTATTACCATGGATATAGAGCTATGTATTGACCTTGTATCTATCTTGTGAACCACCTACAGTACCAAGAAAACCATAAATTATTTAAGAGCTACCTCCCACTGCTATAGGCATTACCTGTTCACCCCTCTCTACTCCCATGTTCAAGAACATAGGTCCCTTCACTCAAGTGTAGTTCATAAGTTTTGAGCATCTCCTTTGTAAAGTTCTTCCTTAAGCCAGCTCAAAACCACATTCCACTGTTCTTGAGAGCGGGCAGGCAATTTTACTCCCCCTGCTGGAGATCGGAGCAACTCTGCCTGTCCCCTGAGCCTTGGAACTGGGGAGGTCTCTGTGGCCTGGCCTTTATCTGAGCACCATGGTCCCACCCCAACACTGAAACACTTTCTCTGTACCTACAGACCACCTTAGTCCCAGGAATGTTTTCAGGTCGAAGTAAAGAAGTTAGAGCGATAGCAGGGATTCTTAAAGTGTTGCATGTCTAGAAATCCTGCTGGGATTCTTGGGGCTCCTTCACTTGGCAGAGGCAAATGGCTCCTGCTTTAGGTTTGGCCTCTCTGAGTTCAAAGTTGCAGGAATCCACAAATGTGGCTGAGGTAAAAGTGGCTTGGGATGTTCCATCTGTGGGGTACTGAGTAGTACCAAGAATAGGGCCCAATGCAGAGGCAGGACTTCCTCACTTAGTCCATTTTCTGTTGTAGTGACTGAGTAACACAGCCTGGACAATTTACAAAGAATAAGGCTTATTCTGTTTCTGGTTCTGGAAGCTGGGAGGCCCAAGGCAGGGGCTAAACCTGATGACAATCCTCTTATCAGTGTGAACACTGCAGAATCCCAAAGTGTATAGGGCGTCAGGTGGTGAGAGTAAATGTGCTAGCTCAGGTCTCTCTTTTTATAAAGTCACTAACTGCCATCATGAGGGCCCTTCCCTCTTGATCACATTTAATAGTAATTATTCCCAAAGGCCCCACCTCTGAATTCTACCAATATATGAATTGGAGGACCTTCTAGTATATGAACTTGGTGGGATACATTCAAACCACAACAGTACTGTGAGTTTACCCTAACAGCCCATCAAACTGTTGCTGTACTCCATGCTACTTGTACCAGGCCCTGCCTGGACATTATCCCTGTGAGCTTCTTTTAGTCTGTACTCTCTCTCCCCCTGCAGGTGTGGAGGACTGGGGCTGGTGCTGGCCAGTGCAGGCTTTGGCATGCTGACAGCACCCATTATTGAGCTGCACAACCAAAAAGGCTACTTCCTGCACCACATCATCTTCGCCTGCTGCACGCTCATCTGCATCATCTGCATCCTCCTGCTGCCTGAGAGCAGGGACCAGAACCTGCCTGAGAATATCGCCAATGGGGAACACTACACACGGCAGCCACTGCTGCCACACAAGAAGGGAGAGCAGCCCCTGCTGCTCACCAACTCAGAGCTCAAAGACTACTCGGGCTTGCACGATGTGGCTGCAGTGGGCGATGGACTGCCAGAAGGGGCCACTGCCAATGGCATGAAGTCCATGTAGCTTACTGAGCCACACCAGCATCCCACCAGTCCCCTGGGGTTTAAAGGGCTGAGGGACGCTTGCACACAGGTTTACAGACCAGAGAGGAGATGCATGGCTGGGGAGGAAAGTCCAACTCTGCTGCTGACGCCACCCAATAGTGAGAACTTCAACTGGTGTGGGGAAATGCTCTTTTCAAATGTCCAAGGAACAGATTTGAGCAATCAGATGCTTTGGAAGTAACCCTTCAAAGACTTTATTTTCTGGATTAAATGTTTGTATTTATTTTGGTCATTTTTACGAGAAGCACTTTATTCCCTTTCCTCTCACTCATTATGAAGTGGAACCTCCTTCTGGAGAGAGGCACCGTCACACTGAGGGAGTCACTCTAAGTGACCAATGCAGTAGCCAGTCCCCTCCCTGGAGGCCAGACACTGCTTTTTTCCTCCGTCCAAGGAGCGAGTGGTCATCTGGGTAGGCCAGGACTCCCACCTCTAGGCTCCCTGATGAGGAGAGATGTGCCTCTCAAGTACAGTCTTCTTGGGACTACATTTTAGGCAGAGCAAAATGTACATGAATTGGGCTTTTTGTAGAGTCTGTGTATTTTAAAGTTGGGTTTTTTCCTTCCTGTTTGTAAAGTAGAGTTTCCATACTATGTGCTGGGGAAAGCAACTCCTAGATACCATCAAAGCCAGCTTAGTCTCTTTCCTTCAGGATCATCCTTTTATACTTGATGCTGGAAGTTTTTGTGAGGAAACTTCCATACTTCACCAGAAATCCTAAAAGTTCAGATATGGCCAGTTTTCTGACACCAGGCTTGCTTAGTTAAATCCACAGGCAGTAGATGTGTTGTGTGGTCTGAGGCATCTATTTCTTTTAAGACTCCTTCCCAAATTGAGCTCCAGCAGAGAAATTCCCTCTTTCACTGTCAGCTTTGTTGCCAGCACTACTTGAAAATGTGGCTACTCTCTGAACTACAAACAACAGGAAAACAACTGAAAAAGACAACTAAGGCAAATCCCAGGAGGGAGCCTGGCTCTCCCCACATGGCCGTTACCCACATCTGGAGCACACACCACAGAGAGTGCCAGCTTGGATGGCTGTCACTCTCAGAACAGAGTCCACAGCAGCTGGAGGTGGTCCACCTCATGTCTTCCTCAATTGCTTCCTGCCTGTCACTGGTTCAGCAGAGGGGCGCAGGGCAGGAGTGTAAATTGCTCAAACATGAGTCCAAATGGCCTCCAGCCCCTTGAAAGCAAGGAGTGAGAGAAAGCAATAACTCACCAAAGCTCAACTCCCATCCTGTGCCAGCCTCCCAGGATACCCTCATCTATGTCTGTCATCTTGCCCCAGGCAGCAGAGTACCACGGCTGCTAAAAACCCAGCCTCTCAGCCCATTGCAACAGCTCAGGCACCAGCTTCTCTGGACAGCGTGGCTTCTTATGAACCATCTGCCTTGCCTCATGGGCCTGTGTAGGCGATTAGGTGACTTCCAAGTGACAGTGACCAGAATTCAAAGGGCCAGAAAGGAGTTCAGTTTCTCCCTTCCAGCTCCCCACCTAGTCTGTTCTTTACTATCTCGCCTGCTTCTCGTCCACATCCAGTCAACACAGCAGAAGTCAGCTGCCTGGATCAAGACCTCATGAAGGCAGTCATCAGGTGTGCAGTCCGGTGTTTCCAACAGTTGGCCTATGCTCTCTTCAGTGCCTGGGGTCCTGGGAGCTTTGCTTGAGGACCAATGGCTAGGTGGGAGGCTGTGTAGACAGTCCCTCCCCACACCTGCTCCAAGTCCAGCTCATCCTCACCCTCCTTGGTGGTCTCTTCTGAAGAGTCACCTTCGTTCCATGTCTATGTTGGTACACATTCACATTACAAAGGCCTTTCTTTACATCTGTGCAGCCTTCACGTGCCAAACTCATGAAATACCTTCTACCTTTTCTAGGGTACTTGCTACCAACTCACCTGGCAGCAAACTGTTAAGTATCGAACCAGACATATGCACGGTCATGAGCAGTCTCACACTGGTCGTGAGGCCTTTTTAAAGAAACATGGAAGCTGCAGTGCTACTGAGCTCATAGGAAGGTGGCACCAAGGTGCAACACTTCCAAACTTCTATTCCAAGGTCTCTGGTCTCCGCCTCAAATGACAGTGATACAAACACTGGGCCCATGAAGACAGTGCTAATGGCTACCACAAGCAGAACTGACCCATCCATGACTAGCAGAGAAGCTGCAGTTGAGGCCTGGGCTAGGAGGCCAACATCCACAAGTTCAGCAGGCTGATTGCAATAGTCTTGGCCATCAGTTGGTCCTCCAGCACCCTCATGTGGCAGCCTCAGGATGAGGCTGAGCTGTTAAGTTTCTGAAGGTAGCCAGAGCAGTAAAGGTTGCTTGTGGGTAAAGCTATTTGATCTGAACATGTCGGAAAGGCATCAGGGCACTCAGACTGAGACACCCTGGCCTAGGTCCATGGGAAGATGGCCTCAGCCCAGCTTCTTGGTACCAGGCTGCCTAAACTTGGTCCTGTGCCCCTCGTGGGTAGTAGATGCTTCTCAGGCACTTGCTCTTTCTATTGGGCCCCTGCATCCCCGGGGAACATTAGAAGGCGTGTACTCCTTATTGCCCTCCACCCATCCCTGCACCTCTGTTTTGATAAAAGTTATGCACAAATGTGAACACCTGAGATGGGGCTGGGTAGTTCTTCATTTTGCTCTTTGTTAAGTCAAACATTATCAAATATTCTAATTATTAGCACCCAAGACAAATAGTAAAAAGGTTTAGATGTTTTTGTTTTATAAGGCTATAATCACCTGCAACTGGAGGATAGGGCTGGTAAACAGGTTTGGCCATAAAATGGAAAGCATGCAAAAACAGACCTCATAAAGGGAGCATCATGCTCAATCATGACTACTTCCCAGAGCCAACCGAGAAGTCCCTGAACTGGAAGTGCCATTCAGTGAATCTTGTGACCATCACACACCCAGCCCCAGGGTGGCACATGGGTTGGAGAAAGCCCACACTTCAACTCCTTGTTTTGAAGGACACCACCTCACTTTAATGTATTGTGTGTTTTGGAAAAGCAGTATGGTGTGTTGTGTCTAGTGAAGAACGCTTCCCTACCTCTGTCCTTTCTGCAACCCAACCATGTGCGGTTTTACTCTGAAAACCGTGTTACTGTATGTGTCGATGGGGGTTCCTCCAGCGGTACTTGTTCATAGCACAAGCTTATGTTGAGTTCTGAACTGTCGTTCACAGCTACGTGTCTGCATGGTGTCGCATCTGTTGTACCTTGGGGAAAATTCGTATGTAAATGTACAGAAATAAAAATGTTGTCCCATTAACAGATTTCCTCTGGAATGTCTTCCCTACCTCACCTGATGGTATCCAACAAAGGGCATTTCACCACCATTGACGAGTAATAAAATCCTCCATGTTGATCCAGACCTCGCTTGTCACTGCTTTCAAGGCTTCTGTAAGCTATCTTCACTTGCCCTGATGGGGATGGTGGGGCCTCTCACTCTGCTTTAAGAATCCTAGTCTTAAAAGGCAGTCAGAGGCTGAGAGATTAAACTTAAATGTTTCATCTAGTGTAATTCTCAGACCAACTGGGAATTCAGTTCATTAAAGAGAAGTTTTTCTCTCATTTATGTTCTGTGAATCCATGGCCTGAAGGTTCCTAGAGAGGTCAAGGAATGACTGACTACACTGTGATTCTGTGAGGAAAGACTGATATCCCAAAACGCTCTTCTCTAATGTAGTATTTTTTAACAAGAAAACAATATTTCTTTAATAAAGCATTTATACCAAACTCTTCTCTCCATAGCTGATTCTGTGTTACTTACTATTCTATCCTAGACCTGCCCACTGGGCTTCCCACACTACAAAAACACTGGCTGAAGCCTCTGAGGTTGGCATGGAAAGTTTGGGCAGAAGGAGGCCCCTAGGACCCCAGACACAATACCGTTAGGTACCCTTAGTTGCCTCCCCCAGCTCAGTACAAGACTCTTGACACTGCAAAACAGTTACAGGCCCTGAACTGTCCACCTCTCAACACGAAGGCCCATGGGAAAGGATTAGAAAGCCTTTGGCAGTGGTAGTCAACTTTGTCAAAGCATGGGCCCCAACATGTGAACCTCATGTGGAAAAGCCACAATTAGACTCCAAGTGGTAGACAGAAAAGGGCTAAGGATTAGAAATGGCCAAAGGACAGGTACTAGGGAGAAAAGGGAAGAGAGCAGAATAGGAAGAGCAACAAAGATTAAGCTACACTGGCACCCAAATGACGTGGCTTTCACAGGCTGCAAAGCATTGCAACATAATTCCAGCAATAACACAGCACAGTAGGGATTATTCCTACTTTATAGATGAAAAGAACAGGGCCCAAAGAAACTTAGACTTCATTGAAACCATAAATCTAGGAAACTGTGCGAGTAAGCCTCGAATCTAGCTAAAACACATACACACTAAAGGTGCCCAGGAAAGGTGAAGGGGGAACAGAAAACAACATCATCCGTTCAGAAGACAGAAGCCTCAGGACCTGCCACAATCCTACAGCATATCCATATGCCTGACTAACCTCGATTCTAATTGGGAATATATGTGGCAGTAATGACTGATTTACACTCTGTACTAGATTACAGCCTTCAAGCCCAACAAAATGCCACTTTCACCTCTTTTCTCGAGCACTAATCAGAAAGTGTTCACTGCCTGCCGCCTTTTCTCCCCATGCCCATCAATTTGAGCTTTATGATACACAACTAAGAGGAAGGACAGCCAGTAAAATGAACCCTTTTAAAAAGGTATAAATACAGCTTGATGACAAAACCAAATTCAATCTATTTATTTAAATGTACATTGTACATAAGTTACAAATTCTTCTGCCACTCAGAACTTTTCCGGAAAAGTCTCCATTTCTTCCTTGATCCTGTTTTCTATAAGTAATGCGAAGTTACTGTCTGTATTTTGAAGGTTATAGCTGACAAACACCTGTTTGTTGGTCTTCCTGGCTAAAAAGAGAAAACATTGATAGCCACAACTGAAACACCACAGGTCCTATGTTCCACACACCTGCCTGGAGTTGGGAGGTACTTGGAAAGAGAAAATGGAATTTGGGAAAGAATGGAGTTCTAATTTTTAAGACTTTTCAGGGGCTGAACATCAGTGGTTTTTAGTGTGGGCCCAGTAACAGCAACAGCTGCAACTTAGTAAGAGCTACAGAGTCTCTGGCCCATCCAGACCACTGGCAGGACAAAGATGCCAGGACCAGCAGTCAATGTTAAACTCTCAAGAGACCCACACTAATACCTGGGAACCTCTGCTCTACATGGGGCTTTTAGCTCTGGAGATTTGCAGTTTTTATTTTTTGTTAATGTTAAAATACTTAAAATATTAAAGTTCTCCTTCAGTACCACACACCTCTACCATTTCCTCTCTCCTAGAGGTAATCTCATATTTCTGTACATGTGCATACAGGTACACCTTCACAAACACACACACGTGTGTGTGTGCATATATACACGTGTATGGTTACCTAGCACTGAATGTCAATTTTAGCCCCTTTATAAGTGAGGTACACTGTCTCAACTGCAAATGTCAAGCTCAGTCACAGGCCCAAAATCTGGAATACCCTGAGTAGAAGCAGGCAGCCCAAGCCACTGTTAAACTCAACAATGACTGGACAGTGGCCTGACCTCTTCCTTTGGCCTCACCCATGCCAAGGACAGGTGCAGAACCTCCTACTTATCCATCAAAACATCTATCCTGGTGTTATCACCCTAACCACAGGTAGAAAGGCAGAGGTAAGGCTGTAGAGGCTACACAACCATGGCTAAAGTCTGCTGTAGAACACATACCAACTTCATCCAGGTGGTAACTTTCCTCTTCATGACTTACCTGCGGTCCCAGAAAGGTGACACAGAGGACAAAACAGAGCTACCTTCAAGCCTGGGTCTTTCTGGCCATCCTGAAGCCTCTTTGGGCTCCAGGTCCTCTTTTGTAAAGCAAAGGTCAAGTCTCTGAATCTCAAAGGCCTTTTATTGTTTTTTGAGATGTTGTTTTGGGGGCTTTTTTTTTTTTTTTTTTTAAATCAATCCAAGACTCTGTGTCTGCACTTTTAGCTAAGAAAGACCTTGGGGACTATTCATTGACTGGGCAGCAGATGACTCTCTAGAAGGAGAGAATAAGCCCAGCCTCTACCCCGAGGACAGCGTAAACAGCATGAAATATGAATTATCTCAATAATTCTGTTTTAATAATGCTGTTTTAAAAAGTAATGTAAGAAAATAAAAGAATGTAATTGAAATTCCTATCACTTAGGAAGTAAAGATGGGAAGCTCACCCCAATTTCCAGGCCAACCTGGTCTACACAGTAAGTTCCAAGCCAGCCAGGACAACAAAACTAAACCCTATATATGTAAAAAGAAAAAGGAGAATGCATGTGGACAGAAGCAGTTGTCAGTTATAGCAGGAGGCAGTCTTTTAAGATGGCTTACAGTACTCACAGCAGAGCCCACCACCAGTTTGCTGCACACAGTGTGCCCACAGGGAACCAGGTATCCCAGACAATGATCTGTCCTGAGGGTAGAGAAGGGAAAACCACAAGTTTCCCTCACAGTGCTTTATCTATCTCATTCCCTAGGTGCAGGAGGGAGTCTGGAAATTGCTAGTTTAGACAATGATCTGAAAACAAGTCAAGTGTGGCAGGATAGTGAGACCCAGCAAGGCCAGCCACAAGGGACCATAAAGTCACACTGTATTTAGTCTGTCCTCTCAGTGACAGTGGCAAGATGTTCTCCTCTTCTCATAGGGGCCCACTGCAGTTCTAGTCACTTTTAATTGCTAAGATAAACCTGGAAGTTGTGTCTGTGCCTCAACCTGCCAGACCCAGCTCTGCCCTCCAGAACACAGGGTCTGCTCATCCACACCAAAGCTGGATGCTTCCATGGCCACTGAGAACCTGCGGCTCAGCCCTTTCCCTGTCTGCTTTCATCTTCCATAGAAGGTGTTACTGCACAGCACCTCTGTCTTCATCATGATGTGTTACTGACACACGTCCAGGCCCAAGAGACCAGTGAGTGCAGAACTTTGCTGAGCAATTCCTTAATCTGAGCACTGTGCAGTACCAGACCCTGCGAAGATGCCAGCAGCCACACTCACGTCATGCTTTTCACAAAACCTGGTGTTAGGCCTCTACCTCATGGATACTCTTGAACCCACTTTGCTTTTTTAGTATAAAACCTTTTATTCACACAGGACAGACAAGTTCTTGCTACCCTCCTCTACCAGGATCTGTCACAGCAACCCCACCAAGCATCCTGTCTCCATATTTATGGACACCTCCTCCAACTTTGTCTAAGTGGACATGGACACACAGTAACCTGCTTGACAAGAATGTGTTAGCACTGAAATGTTTAAAAATACATAAGGAAGCACTTAAGAGTAAAGGGTCATCACATCCCAGCTGACATTCACATAGTTCAGGGAAAAACTGTAAACACAGAAAAGACAAAAACTTCGTCTTAGCCAGGTGTGGTGGTACACACCTTTGATCCCAGCACTTGGGAGGCAGAGGCAGGAGGATCTCTGTGAGATCAACACCAGCCAGATCTATAAAGGGAGTTAGTTCTAAGTCACCTAGTGCTACAAAGAGACCCTGTCTTAAAAAAAAAAATTAAAAAAAAAAAAAAATAGAAGGCTCAGCAGGAATTCTTTCCTATAAATTCTAAATTACTTCGTAATAAAAAGTTTTCAAAACAGCTTACTAGTCAGGTTTATATCCAGGCTAGAGAAAAATGATGCCACAAGTTCCTATAATGCTGACTTCTGCCCTGAGGGCATGGTAAGCCTGGAAGGGCTGGTCACAAGCTACTCCCCAGAAGCCTTCCCAAACTGGTGAGCGTTTGCATGTTCCTCTAGGCTGTGTGCTTTCTGATCACATGAGTGGGACTCACCATGACAGACATTCCTAACTTGTCAAGATGTCAGTTTTCTTTATACCGCACACACAACCCAACACAACTAAAGTATGAGCTTCTCGAAAACTGGGGGCTGGGATTTTTCCCTATGCAGTCCCTTGCCCAGGATTTGAGGGACCCTGGGACTGACAGGCACCAAAATGATTAGAATGCTGGAAAACACAAAGACTAAGTCAGAGATGCAGGTACCCCATGCACACTGGCCATGGGAAGCTAGGACTGGAGATCACAAAACACATGCCACTCTTACCTGAACTACCCATTATTTGTGAAAAATACATGTGGCCTGTGCGGGGAACAGAACCTTCAATCTCACTCTGCTAAAAACCCACTCTACACTGTACTCACCTGACCACACCCTGACTGTCATGCTGAGGCTGAGAAACAGTCCTTCCTACAATTGCACCTGCCACAGACTTCACAGAATCTCCATGAGCCCCATCGAGTCACCCTGAGAAGCTGGCCCTAGGCATGATCTCCCATAAGGAATTGATACACCCATTGAAGGAAAGTAAACTAGCTCATAGATTCAAGCAGGATGCCACGAAGGCTGTGGGAGTTCCTGGAAGTCCCATGTGAACATGCTAATGCTGGATGGTTGAGATAGTAAGTGCAGATATGTTCTATAAAAATACCCAACAGACAAAGGTCTATGCTTCCAGCGTAATGAAGCAGTTGTCCCCAGCATGAAGATTCTTTACTTCTGAAGTCACTTGCCCCAGGACAAGAACAGTGGGTCCCACCTGGCTGGTCTCAAAGCACTAGCTACAGGTACATACCAAGGCGCTGGGCTAGGCCAGTGGAGGTCGTGTCAGAAGTGTCTCCAAAAAGGGAGGTGCACACAGGGATGGAGTCCTAAGAGAAAAGCAAAGAGCACATTGTGAATTCTTCACCAGGGTATAACCACGCAGCTTCTGATTGCGCACTAGGTGATGGCACCAAGTTCTGAGAGGACACATACACATGTCCCAAGGGGTAGGCATCTGTCAACAGTCAAGCCAGGCGACCCTGGACATACAAGAGGTCAGGAGAGCTGGGACAAGCAGAGGTGACCAGTAACTATAACCACAGAGCTGTTAATAAGTTCTAAGACTTATTTCACATAAAGGGCTTGTTTTTGTGTTAGAAACTCCAAAGCATGCTGAAGGGCAACATTCCAACCAGGAAAGATGCAAACAAACTCATTAAGACCACAGCAAGAAAGCAGATCAGTCTGGCTGCCTTGTGCCTCTCATGAAAGCTATGAGAACATAGTTCTAGTCACCTGAAGGCTTGTGTGGACTCCTGAAGGTCAGTAAATACCCTGGGACTCTGAAAGGACACAAGCCAGCAACCAGCATCCAAATAGCAAAAATAAAGCCTTGTGTGTACAGTCAACCAATCTCATTCTGGCTAAGAAGCAATAAAATATAACACAGCTGATAGTGTGCTTGCCTAGAATGCACAAAGCCCTGGTCAATATCCAGCACAGCTTGCAACTTGGCCAGAATTACTTCCATCAAATAGCAGACTTCAGGAGGTACACTCTGGGTGCAAAGCCCTGGGAGTTCTAGATGGGGACAAGGGTTGTAGAGAGACAGAGACTCTGGGGATTAGTACCCCTACCCCACTATCCAGAGGGAGTCAAGTGGACTGATCAAACATCTACCAGACAGTGTGACAGAGGGGACTCTGAAAGGACACAAGCCAGCAACCAGCATCCAAATAGCAAAAATAAGCCTTGTGTGTACAGTCAACCAATCTCATTCTGGCTAAGAAGCAATAAAATATAACACAGCTGATAGTGTGCTTGCCTAGAATGCACAAAGCCCTGGTCAATATCCAGCACAGCTTGCAACTTGGCCAGAATTACTTCCATCAAATAGCAGACTTCAGGAGGTACACTCTGGGTGCAAAGCCCTGGGAGTTCTAGATGGGGACAAGGGTTGTAGAGAGACAGAGACTCTGGGGATTAGTACCCCTACCCCACTATCCAGAGGGAGTCAAGTGGACTGATCAAACATCTACCAGACAGTGTGACAGAGCACAGATCAGATTCTATACCTCATCCCCTAAAGGCTCAAAGTCACTGCCAGAATTTGTTCAGGATATAGAAAGCCAGGCATGGTGGCACAGGACTCAGGAGGCAGAGCACTCTGTGAGTTCAAGGCCAGCCTGGTCTACATACGGAGTCCCAGGCCAGCTGGGGCTATCGGAAGACCCTGTCTCAAAAAGAAAAAAAAAAACCCAACAGGAGATGAATGAATCCATTTTTTTGGTTAAAAAAGATATAAAAGTATGATCTTAATTAGTAAACCTGCTGTTTACAGACTCCAAGTTCAACATTTAGCTGTAACATAACAGTATTTACAGCTAAACCTCCTGAACAAACTAAATCTACCTTACCAGCTGACTTTTTTGCACTAAAGATAAAATTTTAAACCCTATCTCATTACTATTCTTTTATTATTATTATTTTTTATATGTATGCATGTATTGCCTGCATGCAGGTAAGTGCACCTGTGTTGTGCAATGCCTGCGAAGGTCAGAAGAGGCAGTTGGATCCCCTGGGACTGGAGTTTCGGACAGTTCTTAGCTGCCTTGTGGGTGCTGGGATTCAAACCCAGGTCTTCTGCGAGAACAGTGTTCTTAACCGCTGAGCCATCTCTCCAGCCCCTCGTTACTATTCTTAATATAGTTCATTACTTTCAAATAGAACATTGATTTCCCAGCATGCTCCCACTAAGGTGAGAGTGCCATCTTCTAGTCCCCTCCATAGGTCAAGGAGATCCTACATCCCAGGCCAGCCACCCTCAGGCTGGTTAGGCCCAGCACCATCCTTTCTGGGTACCAAAACCCCTGTTCCTGCCAGCAGGCTAGCTAGAGAAGCAGCAGCATCCTGTGGTTTCTGTTCTCCACCGTCTTCTTGTGGATGTGTAAGTTCAGGGGCAAGAGAAGGAGAACACTCCTAGACCCTTTGGCACTCTCTCCATGGGCAAGCATACATTTTCTGGAAAGAACCAGATAGAAAATAGTTTAGTGTCAGGGTCCAGAAGTCCTCCTATATAAGTGTTCAAACTCGCCATCAAAGTATACAAGCTGCACAGACTTCACCTGCATAGACAGATGTGGCCCTGTTTCAATAAAACTTTATTACATAGATGGTGGGTCAGCCCACAGGTCATAATTTGCCAAGTCCTGATCCACTAGCATCTTGGGTTTTCTGCCTTAAAACACATCTGCATCTCTTCTCCCTAGTCACCACAGCTCTCTGCCCCTAAAGGAAACATTCAGGTACCAGTGTGACCAGCTGGTGGGAATGCAGTTCTCACAGATCTAGGAAGGAAAGCTGGTCTCTTTTCTTATTCACACCTGTGACCTTCCAACTGAGGTAATACATGCCTGCTGGCCTCTGTGACTACCAAGCCATCAGATCACCAAAGCAGCCCACAGAATGGGCTTATTTACTTACTCCCCAAAGGGTTTGGTTCTAGTGGAAGGTCCTAGGCCACTTTACAGTACACTACTACTGAAGTCTCAGAATGAGGAAAGAATAAAGTGAAGAGGCTCCAAGCAACCGCACACATTATTCCAGTCCGCTCAGCCCCTCCTCCAACAAAAGAAGACCTGAAACTGTCACCTTCCCAAAGACCTACGTTCCAGGGCTCACCAGAAAAGAAAACAGTCAAGAAGGATTGGTTGAGAGTGAAAAGGGCAGGTCTCAATTCAGGTACCATCTCCTACCTGAACTACTACTCTAGACACTGTGGACATAACCTGGGCTTGCTCCTGTGCTGTCCAGCTGCCTTTGCAGCCCTCCTCAGTCCTTACTCCCTGACTGGCTACAACTCAGTCCTCCCTGTAGAGGTCTTAGCTATTCCCCAATGACTTAATGAGCAGCCTGTGAGGTAACAGACACAAACCTCAGAAAACACCCAAACCTTACCTTCGAATACTAAAACCCAGAGACCAACATTTCAGGAGTCAGTGGACAGGGAGGAATACGAAGAGACAGCAGGCCCTGTGGGGTACCTAGAAAGCCTCTGGATCAGGCTCTGAGCTCATCTTGGGTCTTTAGCAGAGAGACAGCAATGTCTGATCTGTCCCTTTTTTTTTTTTTTCACTTGTGTGTGGTGTGTGTGTGTCTGGTATGCATGTTTGTGTGTATGCATGTTCCCAAGTAGTACATGCACATAGTACATGGATGTATGTACATGCATGTACACTTGCACAGATATGCACATGCATGTGGAAGTTGGTGGTTATGTTAGGTGTCTTCCTCAATTGCTCCTCATTTTATTGAGACAAGATCTGTTCCTGAACCTGGAGTTCTATGACTTATCGTATCTAACTAGTCAGCTTGTTCCAGTGACCCTGCCTCCACCTCCCAAGTGATGGGATTACAGGCATGCCATCATACCCACCCATTTTTACATGGATTCTAGGATCAGAGCTCTGATCCTTACACTAGCATGGCAAACACGATCCACTGAGCTATCTCCCTAGCTCTTCCTTCCTTTTGCTGACCTGTCTTTAAACTATTACTCTGCTACCTGTGGAGAAGTGGCCAGAGACAATGCTGTGAACCAAACTGTGTCTCCTGAAAAGAAATGTTGAGGTCAAAGAAGTATATGTGAATGAGAATTTATTTGGAAGTAGGGTCTTTGCAAATGTAATTAAGATGTGAGTTAAGATGAAGTCATACCAGGGGCAGAGGAAATGGTTCAACAAATAAAAGTGCTTGCCACTCAATCATGAGGACGTGAGTTCAAGTACCCAGAACCCAAAGCTGTAATCCCAGCCCTCCTACAGGGAGACAGGAGGCAGAGACAGTAGAAGCCCTGAAATCTTCCAGGCAGCTTCACTCTCCTGACATATGCAGCAGAAAAACAACAAAGAGACTGTCTCAAATAAGATGGAAGTTTGACACAGACACCTAATGCTGGTCTCTGACCTCCGCACACTCTGTGGCACCTGCATACCCACACTCATACATAGGAATGCACACACACCACCTCTCTCTCTCTCTCTCTCTCTCTCTCTCACACACACACACACACACACACACACACACACACACACAAAGATGAAGTCATACAAGCTTGTGGTGGGCCCTTCATCCAATTTGAGTGATGTGCTTTTACGAGTCAAGGACTGAGGGTATAGTTTAGTGGTGGGTCACTTGCTGAGCATGGACTCAATCCCCTGGACTAGAGAGAAAGAGAAAGAATATTCATCCATACAGACACAGGGAGACGGCAGTCATGTGGGAGCCAAGACTAGAAAAATCTAACAGCCAAGGGCCAGCAAGGACTGCAGCAAATCCCTTGAAGCTAAAGAACCACATAGAAAGATGTCTTGCTCAGTCTCCAGGAGGAACCAACACATTCATTTTGGAGTTGGGGCCTCCAGAACTTAGAAATCACTGTTTTATGCCACCCAGTTTGTGGCACTTTGTTACAACAGTCATGCATACAACCAAGGGGAAGCAGGGAGAGAAGGGCTTGGCCTAGGATGACAGGCATGAAGGTGGAGTTGCCTTAGCTGCATGTTTTCATTCACAGACGTGGACAGGGTTTCACTGGCTTTGGGAGAAAGAAGGATGAAGAGCAGGCAGAGCACCGCAATGCAGAGTTGCCAACGCAGACAACTGTGGGCCCAGCAAGCAGGGAAGAGAACAGTGTGATCTTGAGCTTTACTGTCAGGTACTTAACAGACATTCAAGTCTAAGTTCCAAACTCGGAAAAAAGTTGTGTATTCCAGCAGGTAAATAAATAAACATAATATGGCACAAAAGAGGTTGTTGGCACCTCCACAGAGGGGTGCAATGAGAAGAGAGGGTCAGACACTGGAGCTTTGGTGGGCTGGAGACTGGGTAGTGCAAGCGTAGATCCACTCCAGACTTCCCCCCCAGACAGAACTCTCCAGGGAAGAACGTGGGACGTGCTGAGGCCACCACGTGTCATACCCGTCTTGCAGCTGCGCGGGAGGCCCTCCCCCTCGGTCCCCACTTGTCCCCTTCGCCTAGGCCCCGCCCCCTCGGTGCCCACCTGTTCCCCACACACTTCCGCCCTGCAGCCCTCTCCACTCCCAGGCCCCGCCCCCTGGGTCCACTCCGCCCGGGCCCCGCCCCCTCGGCGCCCACCTGTTCCACACACACACCACACACACCACACATACCACACACACCACACACACACACTTCCGCCCTGCCCCGCCAGCACTCACAAAGCGGCTGCACATGGCCACCGCGAGATTGCGCAGATGCGGCGTGGCCCCCACCCACAAGAAGAGCGAATCTGTCAGCCGCATGACGTGGAAGTGGACCAGCTGCTCCCACAGCCTCGCGCTGAAATTGTGAAGCGACACGTCCGCGCCCGCGACGGCCGGCGACCCCTCCATGCGGCCTGCCTCCGGCGCCACAACACAGAGAGCAGGCCTGGAGCGCACGCCGACTTCGGCGGCCAGACCCTAGCGAGCGAGCGCCGAGACGCCGAGCGGACCTTCTCTTTGGGCGGGGCTGGGACGGGGCGGGGCGAGGGCGAGGAGAAAATGGGTGAGGGCGGGGCGAGCCCGGGGAGGGGCGGGGAGGGGCGAACCTGCGGAAGGGCGGGCCGAGACTCCGGCCTGGTGTGCCTTACACCCCGCCCAGGCCTCCTGTATCATGCAGGTACTTCCAGCGTGTGAGGAAAGCCATCCCTCTCCTAGGATTCTGACGGAGACCTCTGGGAACCTCTTTCTCTCTGGTCTCTTCCAACAAGGGGAGACCGTTAGTGGGCTGAAGCTAGCCTCAGTCATCCTAAGCCAGACTTGGCTCACGACAACATCCACTTAAAACATTCACTCTCCTTAAGCACTTTGGGAGCCGCCACCTGCCATCATACGCAGATGACCCTAATTAGGAATGGCAACGATGTTGGGAGAAAGCTTTTTAAAAGGAGATGCAGGACGATAGGCATCTTTGAAACAGACACACCCTAGTTGCCACCGTGTAACGCAGGGGCCTCTAGCTAACCCAGTTTCCGCATGTGCAAAATGGAAAAAATAGGGACCTTTAAATTTTCATAGCTGAGACACTGAAGAATTTGAAATGAAACCCTCTGTAATAAGAAATGAAATGTGATAAGAGAAACGTAAAAGTCTGTAGTGCCTCGATTGTTAGACTTTTAATAGCTGACTTTGGGACCCTAAGAACTATAAGGGTTCTGCAATCTCTAATAAGTCTAAGTTGAAATTTAACAGGGTGCTGTGGTTTGAATGTGGTAACTGAAAAGTGGAGAGAGAGGGCCTAGAGGAGGACCTAGGTCACTGAGGACTAGGGGGTATTTCTCTCGTAGTTCTGAATTTTAACAAAAGCAGCATGCCCCATGCACCCATACTCCTCTGGCTGCTCCTAGCTCAAGTTGCGACTCCTTGCCCTTATTTCTGCTCTTGCTATTGAGACCCACCATTCACCATGAGGTCCTCACCATAACTGAGCCTCCAACGCTGTAAACTAAATAAACCTTTCCTCTTTATAAAGTTAATTGCCTCCGGTATTTCATTTTAGTAACACAAAACTGATCATAGCCGGGTGTGGTGTAGCACACCTGTAGTCCCAGCACTTGGAAGGCAGAGGCAGGCAGATCTCTAAGTTCAAGACCAGCCTGGTCTACATAGCTCCAGGCCAGCTGGGGCTACAGGGACCAAAGAAAAAAAAGACAGAAAAAAAGAAAAAAAAAAAGCTGATTATATAGGAGAAGTTTTTTTTATACTTTTGTTCTATTTGCTAATTATCAATGATTCAGTTCATTTTCAAGTCAATATTTTAACATCTTTATCAAAGTATGATTAACATACAGTGACTACATGTGTTTTAAATGTACAAATTAAGGGTACAGGGGAATGTAGAGGGAGTGGAGGACCAAGATACATTGTATACATCCATGAAATTAAAATAAAATGTATAAATTGAAGTTCTGTCATCTGTATAACCCATGAAATCACAATCAAATAACACATCTAGTAGCCCTCTCAAATCCCTGAATAATCATTCCATCCACCCCCTGACCACTAAGCTGCCATCTGTCAGCATAGACTATGCTGCATTTCATACATTTTCTTCTGAATACAATCATAGCATATACATTATTTTTGTCTTGCTTCTCAATTATTTTGAGATCCAGGTTATATCTGTCAATAGGCCATTCCTTTCTGTTACTGAGCAGTGTTCCATTGCTACCACCATTTGTTTATTCACTCACAGGTTGATGTTCATTTGGATTGTGTCCAGGGTTTTTTTTTGGTTTTTTTGGTTTTTTTTTTTTTTCAATAAAGCTGCTATGAACATATGTGTACAAGTCTCCATATGGACATGTGCCTTCATTTCTCATAGATAAATCCTAGGAGTAGAATAGCTGTTTCATATGGTAGTTGTATGTTTATGTATCTCCTGAACCTGCCAAACTGTTTCCCCATATGGTAATACATTCCTATCAGCAGCATCTGAGAGCTCCAGGTTCATCACATCCTCAACAAACAGTAGCTATGGGAGATTTTTTTTTTCACATTTAGCCATCCTAATAGGGAATGGAACAACACTGTGATTTTAAGTCACATTTTCTTAATAATTAGAAAATCTTAGTTCATATTTGTGCCGTACTCAAAAATGAGTCAAAATGATTCATAAGCCTAAATATACATTTTTTATTTTATGTGTATGAGTGTTTTACCTGCAGTGTAAGTGTACCAGGAGTGTGAAATGCCCACAGAGGCCAGAAAAGGGCATTAAATCCCCAAGAACTGGAGTTACAGACAGTTGTTAGCCACCATGTGGGTGCTAGGGACTGAACTCGGGTCCTCTGGAAGAGCAACACGTGCTTATAACCACTGAGCTATTTTACCAGCCACTCATAAACATAAAAACTAAAAGTATGAAATTGCCAGAACAAAATACAAGAGAAAACTTTGGTAACCTTTGATTTGACAGATTTCACAGCAAAAATGTGATCCGCAAAAGAAAAAGTGATCAACTAGACTGCATCAAAATTCAATTTTCTACAAATAAAT